TTTTTTTAATGTTTCTTCCTTTTCTATTTTTAGATTATTTGATTATGAGACAGATCATAGTTGGTCCTGAAATCACCACGGACATGTACATTATATTATTCTTTGTTTTTCCTTCTAAATGTGTTCCATGGATTATGGATATTCTGAAAATTATAAAAACTACATGTAAATGCATTGTTTACTGACTGATGTCCCTAACATAAATGTTACATAATCATCATGATAAATATCGGTCAGTAAAAATGACAAAAAAGGAAAGAATAATAGCATACGTATATGATTGATGATGATTTGGTAAATAAATATGCCGAAGCATCATTTATATACGAATCTATTCGCCGCACAAGTCTGACGTGTCCAAACACGTGGCATTTTGTTCACCACTTTCCAAACGTTTCTCATTACGAAACGGCGTCGTTTCTTTTGTCTGCGAATTGCGAATCCCTTTGGTCCTGTCTTCGAAGAAGCTCCCTGAAGAAGCTTCAAACCCTAGAATTTTGTTTGTTCCCTCGATTTTTGATTCACGGGGTAAGTTTTTTCTTCCCTCGCTACGTTCATATTTATTGCGAGGCTTTCTACTGTGAACTCCGATTTTAAACTCGATTTTCGTCTGGTTTTCATGAGGAATTTTAGGTCTGGAAGTTTTGATATTGGAGATGAGAAAGGGATTAAAATTAGCTGTGTAAAGTTGAGTTAAGTTGGGATTGTGATCCAGAATTTTTCATCCAAGTTGTAGATTTTAGGTTACTTTCTGGTAATGAATATGGCACGCTGACGAAATTGAATTGTCTTGTGTTTTCGTAAGCTCTAATTCGTTCTCAGTTCAGTTTCAGATTTCGTTGATTGTTAAGAATCTTAAGGATCATACTGCGTAGGTTATAATTGCTTCAACTATTCTCACAGTTTCTGAAAGAGAGATTTGGAAGTTTCAGAAATGCAAATTTTACTACTTTTTGTTTTCCACCCACCGAAGCTAGACTTTCATTGGCCTGCTGTTTGCTGTATCTGAATCATACACATAACTGCTATGCTTCATTTCTATGGTACAGGGTTTGTGTTGGCATTCGTTAGGCTCTTTCCGTTAGGCTGTGAGGCTTATGATCGGTGCCATTAACACCGTTGGCTAACACATTGACTCTGCTCAAACTATGGCCCTTTATGGTACACTGCAGTTGTCCCATAGTCTGGGTTTTTGCAGAAACCAAAGGTGCTATAATCCAGAAAATGTATGTTTCTTCCATTTTAGCCCTGGAAACCTTTTCTTTTTATTCATTTCTTCCCTTCATCTTTCAAAAAATTTGCTTGTTCTTAGAGTTCCATGAGAAGGAGGCTGCATATATCAAATGGTCCTCTCTCATTAGGTGTTCCGGTAATATTTCAGATTTTTTTTACTCTAGTCATTCAAATTGATTTGCTGATATTTAGTAACATTAATTTTCTGCATACAGTTGGGACAGCATGGTTTCAGCAATATATTACTCTCGGATTACCTTCGTAGGCAAATTTATTCAGTCCCATGCAGGACCACCGCTTTTAGGTGTCATTCCTTTTCTGCAGGAGGCAAGGCAATTGAACCTGCTGTTAAAGCTGTCACCGTGGTGCTAACAAAGTAAGACTTCTTGTTTCCTATCATCACATGCAGAATGATCACCTTGGAAAATTGGAAACTATCATAATTTCTATTTAGTTGATCTTCGTGGATATGAATGATTGCATAGTAATCTCAGGGCATCTAACTCACAGCAAATGAATTTACTCTACTCAATAATATTGCGGATGTTAGCTAAACATTGATGTGTGCATACCTTGTCATTGCCATGGTTCCCCTTAGAAAAGTTGTAATCTTTTTGATGGGGATAGATGAAGGGGTGCATTTATGTGTCTCGTAATTTATCTTCTTCTTTTTTATTGCACTCTGTAAATATTTGCATACCGTTGTTTGCAGGTCACACGGGTTGATACAACAATTCCCTTTTGTATATAAGTTGGTTCCAGCTGTTGCTCTTCTTGTTTTCTCCTTGTGGGGTCTAGTGCCTTTTGTTCGCCAAGGAAGAAACATACTACTCAATGTAGGTGCAGCCATTTCAAGTTTATATGCACTTTTTTTTTGTTTAGTGCTTTCATTTCTGTGTTGTCTCTGTTCAAATTAATGTGGTGTCTTTTCTGTATGATATTCTGAATCTTTACCTTTGAAACATTGTAGAAGAATGATAACGGTTGGAAGAAGAGTGGTACGTACCATGTTATGACTTCATATGTTCAACCTCTGCTACTATGGATAGGAGCTCTATTCATCTGCAGGTATATCTATCAAGTAGTTCATCGGGACTTTCTGAGGTTGAATTGTTGAGATATTTTGGTGGTATCCTCATCTGAATTGCTTGGTTGAGATAATTGATAGATGGTGACTATTCCTTATATAGGGCATTAGATCCTGTTGTCCTTCCTACAGAAGCTAGCAAAATTGTGAAGGATCGACTTTTGAATTTTGTGAGATCATTGTCAACGGTACTTGCATTTGCTTACTGCATATCCAGGTAAGCGTATTCTCTTCTTTAAATACAATACCATGTCTTCATCTTATGGTTCTGTATTTTAGTGGCTTCTATCACGTGAAATTGTTATGTGGTCATCTCATGACTTCTGATTCTTTGATGTTCCCATGCAGTCTTATCCAACAAACACAAAAACTCTTCTCAGAAACGAGTAATCCGAGTGATACAAGAAATGTATGTAAAGTGACACTCATAAAAAATGCTTTAGTAATATTTTTTGTAGAGTTATTATTCTTAGGATGTTTGGTCTATTTTGCATGTCTGAGATTTGTGTTACTGCAAGCAAGATCAGAAATCTCTATCAAAAATATAATTGTTTTCTCAATTTGTTTTGCTAATTTGACCCTGGAATGATACAGATGGGATTTCAATTTGCTGGGAAAGCAGTGTATTCTGCTGTATGGGTTGCTGCTGTATCACTTTTCATGGAGTTGCTGGGTTTCTCTACACAAAAATGGCTCACTGCTGGAGGTCTTGGGACAGTTTTGATTACTCTTGCTGGCCGAGAGGTGAAACCTAACTCTCATTTTTATTACTGGGTTCTTCGGAATATCCACTGTTCGCTTTAGACGATTCTTTTCCCTGTTTATGCAAAATATATTTCATAGAAACTGAGTTTTTTTTTTTTTTTGGTCCCAGATTTTGACAAACTTTCTTTCAAGTGTTATGATTCATGCAACCCGGCCATTTGTTTTGAATGAGTGGATTCAAACAAAGATAGAAGGTTATGAAGTGTCTGGTACTGTGGAGGTTAGGATCTCTGAGCTTAGATGATGTGAATTTTTCCTTGCTTCCGTGCACGTTTCCTTAAAATTAGGTAGCTATCTTTCTGAAATCCTTGTTGCAATGCATTTACAGCATGTTGGTTGGTGGTCACCAACAATCATAAGAGGTGAAGACCGCGAGGCAATCCACATCCCAAACCATAAGTTCACAGTCAATGTCGTGAGAAACCTTACTCAGAAAACTCATTGGCGTATCAAAACTCACCTAGCAATCAGTCACTTGGATGTCAACAAAATAAATGTGCGTTTTCTAATTCCGATATGATCGTTTACTCGTTATACAGGTTAAGTGCCAATCATGGAGTTCTTTTAGCTGATCCTTGTTCTGAACTTTCCCAAACAGAATATTGTAGCTGACATGCGGAAAGTGTTGGCCAAGAATCCTATGGTTGAGCAGCAGAGGTTACATAGAAGGGTATTCTTGGAGAATGTCATTCCAGAAAATCAAGCCCTTTCGGTTAGACTTCAATACCTATGTCTTCTTTTGCACCCATCCTGAAGTGATGATCAGATTTTTCAGGAACCTTTGGAAAGTCTCGTTCTTACATCTAGTTTCTCGTTTTTACAGATACTGATCTCTTGCTTTGTGAAGACGTCTCATCACGAAGAATACTTGGGTGTAAAGGTGAATTTTCAGTCTTTTATCTTATTGTCTAACTAAGGTTCACAAGAACTATTGACTTATTTGCTTTCGTTGTCTTGTATTGGCGAAATAGGAAGCTATATTGTTGGACCTTCTTAGAGTCATAAGCCACCACCGAGCTCGTCTAGCTACACCAATCCGTACAATCCGTAAGATGTACACAGACGCTGACATGGAAAACGCACCATTTGGGGAATCGATGTATGGAGGTGTTACTTCTCGGCGGCCTTTGATGCTAATTGAACCTGCTTACAAAATCAATGGAGAAGACAAATCAAAATCTCAAAACCGTGCATCAAAACCAACCTCAGAGCAAGAAAACAAGGGTTCGAGTCCAAAGTCAAAAGAAACGTCTTCACCTGATCTAAAGGCGAATGTAAAAGTTGGAGAATCCTCTGTTTCTGATACCAACAAAGTACCTGAAGAAACGGTAGCAAAGCCAGTAATCAAAGTGGTCTCTAAACCGCCCACCCCAAAGGATACAGAAACATCAGGAACTGAGAAACCAAAGGCCAAGAGAAGTGGTAGCACAATAAAGTCACCAAAGTCGGATGAAACAGATACTTCGTCATCATCAACATCTAGATCAGCTTTGGAAGAGAATATAGTACTGGGTGTTGCGCTGGAGGGCTCAAAAAGAACACTTCCAATCGAAGAAGAGATACATTCTTCTTCTATGGAAACAGATGCTAAAGAACTCACCGGTGCTCGCAGATCCGGTGGAAATGGACCATTGGTGGCTGATAAGGAGCAGAAAGATAGCCAATCTCAACCAAACTCAGGTGCTTCGAACGAGCAGTGAGATGAAATTCAATGAGTTTGCTATTTTTTTTAACACTCTGTGATGTAACATACGATTGAAATTAATTGAATTTACCCTCCCAGAATTCTGGAAATTGGGGGTTGATAATGTGATATATTTAATATAGGGGTTGGTTTCTCGATAGTTGGGTGAAAGTATGGGTTAAAATCATAAATATCAGAAGAAGACGGTTGAGAAGTAGCTTACCTGTCTCTTTTACTCATGATGTAATGTAATTCATAAATGCTCCTCCTCCGATCTCTCCGCCATAAAATCTTTCCTCTTTCTTCTTCTTCTTCGAATAATCTTTCTCGCTTAGTCACTTTCCATGGCGGGCTTTCTCTCCGTCGTCCGGCGCGTATACCTCACTCTCTACAATTGGATCGTCTTTGCTGGATGGCAAGTCGAGCTCGACTCTCTCTTTCTTTCTTCTTCTGTGTAGTCGAGTTTTTGTTTTCTCTCGGATTTGATATTTGAATTTTGGTGACATTTGGGGGTTTTAGGGCTCAGGTTTTGTACTTAGCGATAACGACGTTGAAGGAAACGGGATATGAAAATGTGTATGACGCCATTGAGAAGCCTCTCCAGCTTGCTCAGACTGCCGCCGTTCTCGAGGTCCGTCTCCCAAGATAATTCGCGTTTTTTTTCTTCTTGTTTTTTTCTTTTTCTCCTGATTCAAATCTAGATTTTGGAATTTTCCGGGTGTGGAGCAGATTCTTCATGGATTAGTAGGTGAGTGATCTGATCCATTACACTAATTTCGAACTTGCACTACATCATTTTGATTAATCTCTTTAAAGATCATTGTCTGAGTTGTGTTCTGCTGTGTTGCTAAACTCGGATAGGTTTGGTCAGATCTCCTGTTTCTGCAACTCTGCCACAGATAGGTTCAAGGTTATTTCTCACTTGGGGCATCCTATACAGTTTTCCTGAGGTTACTTACAGAGTTACCAGTATTACGACTTCATTATTTCTCTTTGATTGTTGCAAGTTTCATCATTTCATTGTTGCATTTTGTTCCATTTAATTTCAGGTCCGATCTCATTTTCTTGTTACGTCCCTGGTCATAAGCTGGTCCATCACAGAGGTGATTATATTATATTCTTCGTTCTCATTTTGTTGTAACCATTGAATATAGTAAGAGAGATTTCCCAGTTTCATTTTATGTCTTGAATCTGATATGTCTAAAACAATGCTTGAATCTGATATGTCTAAAACATCATTACTGTCACATGGTTTGTTGATGTACAGACCAAGAGATCCGCTCTTGTTATTTCTGGCTGTCAAGAATTGACTTAAGCATGACTCCTTGAAATTAAAATTAGGCTTTAAAGATCATAACTTACCTTTTACTCCATTTTGGTTGAAGTCTTATCCTAGTTGATTCCTTTTAGGATCATGTGCTTCAGTTCATATCTTTGATGAATAAACTCGCTCTGAGAGCTTTGAAATTTATTTAATCTTGCAGATTATTCGCTACTCCTTCTTTGGCTTCAAGGAAGCTCTAGGCTTTGCACCTTCATGGCACTTGTGGCTCAGGTATGCCATTCATGTGCAATATTATACACATTGAAAAATAGATTAATCTGTAAGTCTCATCTCATTTTTCTCTCTCGTTAATTTGTTCAGATACAGCAGCTTTTTGTTGCTATACCCTACCGGTATCACCAGTGAAGTTGGTCTTATCTACCTTGCCTTACCACACATCAAGGTAACACAACATGCTCATGTCAATTCTTAAAAAAGACAAAAAAAAAACTTTTCTTTACAATATCATTTGGAAGCATGGTAATTACTAATTACGGGTCGTTACACCCATTTGTGTATTTATAATTTAGCGCTCTTAGAGTAGACATGAACTGTTAAAGCCATTTCCCTCAAGACTCTAGTAGACAGGAACTGTTTGTTGACTTTTCAAGACTTCACTGTAAAATCCTCCATAGATAGACTTAAGTTTGATGCCATCTTTAAGATTTCAAAGTGTCTGTTCCACTGGAATCAGGGGAGACTAGACATGGTTGATTCCTGAATGGTCCCTTTGTTTTTTTTTTTCTGTGTGTCTGCAGACATCAGAGATGTACAGCGTTAGGATGCCTAACACATTGAACTTCTCATTCGACTTCTTCTATGCAACGATACTTGTCCTTGCAATCTATGTCCCAGGCACAAACTCAGTTGACCTTTCTTAAGAACATATCTCATGAATCTGTTCAATTCTGATCTGCGAGACTAATTTTGTGTTTGGCTGTTGCAGGTAGTCCACACATGTACAGGTACATGCTTGGTCAGCGAAAGAGAGCTCTCTCCAAATCCAAGAGGGAATAAAAAAAGCTTTAGAAAGAGACCAAAAAGCTCATCAACTGCTTTCTCCTCTTGTATTGTTCTTTCATGTACTACTACTCGTCTTTGTTTAGCTTTTAAGGGTTTGTTTGTTTTGAGCGATTACTTGAACTTATGCAGGATACTCTTATTAAGTGTAATGTGGTTTCTAAATTAATAAGAAAATTAATGGTTCCTTCTCACTGTGCATTCGACACATAATAATGAAAAAGTTAGCTTAGCTAAAACTTCCAAAAGATAGAAATAGAAATATGTGATTAACTAAAATCCCTAAATTTGTTTATGAAATTGAAAAAAAATATCAACAAAATTGTGAAATTATTGGGTCATTAATCATGATGTAAATATAAATGTTATTGAGATATCATGTTCCAAAATTACTGTCATTTTCTTAATACGTACTACTATTTAACATATAAAAGTCAACGTAGTTGTAGTGAGACTTATCATCGAACACGATAAGGCGTGGTGAAGTAACGCAGATCACAAAATATTTGTGTCTGAAAAGGCATCGGCGTTGTCTATTTTCTTGAATATAAATATTGAAATTAATAGAAACGTCGTCGTTTGGATTCCATCAAAAGGACTTTCTCCGCCTTTCATTTTTTTGTATACCAAACCGAGGGAAAAAATCCGCAGAGATGAACCAAAAATAAAAATCTTGAAAAACTTTTGAATTCTTTCATTTCTATTTCGAAGCTGCTGCTTCAATTTTTGGCTACTTTGATTTGAGTTTTGTTTGGATGAAATGGCCGATCAAAGGAGTAAAACCAATAGATGGAACTGGGAGGTGAGTGGTTTCGAACCGAGGAAGTCTTCTTCCAATGCATCGTTTGTGGAGGGTGGTCACCGTACGACTGGTCCTCTGCTTCGCCGGAATTCGATTTCGACTCCCTCGCTTCCGCCTAAGCAAGCTCTTGCATCTAAGGTTAACGGATTAAGGGACAAAGTTAAGGTGAAATGTCACTTCCTTTTTCACTTCAAAGTGTCCTTGGCTTGGGTTTTGAGCTGAATTGATTTTAAAAAAGGCTGCTTTTAGTTTTCTAAGTGTAACCTGAGTCTCATAGGCTAGGTTGTGTATTTGTGGGATTTGATGGAAGTTTAGTGTTGAAGCCATTGCTTATCAAGAAAAAAATTGTGACTTGGTTGAACAGCTCGCAAAAGAAGATTACTTGGAGTTGAGACAAGAAGCTACTGATCTCCAGGAGTATTCTAATGCTAAGCTTGACAGGGTTACACGTTATTTGGGTGTTCTGGCTGACAAAAGTCGTAAATTGGGTAAGTTCTGTGTTTCACTAGTCGTAAATTTGAAGTCTATGTAAGTTGTGTGCAAGCATCAAGAAAAACTGAGTATTCATTACATTTGGTGCATTTGTGACTAGTGCAGAAGTTGACGACACTAGAATTGGTTGGCCTTTTTCCCAATATTGGAACCTTTATGAATCCATTTATTTCAAAGATTGAAACTTCATAAATCCATCTACTGTATCTAGCTCTTGTGGTTGCGTTTCATTGCTTCATCTGTTTTGTGGTGGAAATTTCTTAGTGTGTTGTATTTATTTATCTACATAAACCACCACAGATCAATTTGCCCTTGAGACTGAAGCTAGGATATCTCCACTTATCAATGAGAAGAAAAGACTGTTCAATGACTTGTTAACGGCCAAAGGTACCCAGCTTCCATAACCAATGTCATCGATCTTTCTATATTTATAATCTTTCTTTGGGTATAGGTTCACTGATGTATGATAGTTTTCTGCTTCCTGTTGGTTAATGTGGAATTGTTTTTCTTTCTTCAGGGAATATAAAGGTCTTTTGCCGTGCAAGGCCATTGTTTGAGGATGAAGGTCCCTCTATTATAGAGTTCCCTGGAGATTGCACCATATGTGTAAACACTAGTGATGATACTCTGTCCAATCCCAAGAAGGACTTTGAATTTGATAGAGTTTATGGACCTCATGTTGGACAAGGTGAGTACCATAGTTCATTGTAAATGTAGTCTCTCCTTATGTCATGAGCTGTTTCGGGTTTCAATCTACAAAAGCTGCAACAAACCTCTGTACTTATACTGTAATTTTTCCTCAGCTGCACTGTTCAGTGATGTCCAACCTTTTGTTCAATCTGCACTGGATGGATCTAACGTCTCCATATTTGCCTATGGACAAACTTGTGCAGGGAAGACATACACCATGGTTACCATTCTTTTCCTTTTCCTCTGAAAGTTTACAAATATGTCACATGTTGTTGAGCAACTATATCTATGGATTTGCTGTTACTTTTTAGTGTCTAGCTTTGCTTGTATGTGAGATTTTAACATAGCTTATGATGTATACGCGGTTACTTGCCCTTTGAAGGGTATGCTCATTCTATAGCTCTTTTATGCGTTCTTTTGATTATTTTCATGCTTATTATTTTTGTATCGGGTTCAGAATTGAGCCCGGGATAATCTTCGTTCTGGAGTTATGACATGTGTAGGAAGAAAATCAAAGTGATTTTGTTAGTAAACATTCTTTCTTTAGTTCTTGGCCTGAGATTTGATCTGAGGTGAATATTGTGTCTATGTTGATTTATGAGGTATACATTATCGTGTACGTTCACAGGCATGTTTTATAGTTCATAGTACTGTCTATTTTTACATTGATTTGTTATCTCCGTGGCTCTCTGTTGAATCAACTTTCTTGGCTGTTGTTTTGCCAGGAAGGTTCGAATCACGACCGTGGTTTATATGCTCGTTGTTTTGAGGAACTTTTCGACCTAGCTAATTCCGATTCAACTTCCACATCTAGATTCAGTTTCTCTCTTTCAGTGTTTGAGATCTATAATGAACAGGTGCTTCCAATCGAGTCTAAAGTACTAATACTTTTGGCTTTCATTTTCTTTACCAAGATAGTTCTGCAGTGGAATCTGACATGTCTAATTCGGCAATTTTCATTGTCAGATCAGGGATCTACTTTCGGAAACTCAGAGCAACTTGCCCAAGATCAACATGGATTTACACGAATCTGTTATAGAACTTGGACAGGAAAAAGTTGATAATCCATTGGAGTTCTTAAGAGTCTTAAAATCTGCATTTCAGAACCGGGGCAACGATAAATCAAAATTTAATGTGACACATCTGTATGTTTCATATTGTGCTTAAATACCTCCTTTTGTTATATGAAGATAATTACCAAGGTTCTTTAGCACGTCTTTACGGATGTTTTCTGCCTTGGTAGGATTGTCACAATACACATATACTATAGCAACACGATTACTGGAGAAAATATATATAGCAAGCTCTCCCTGGTTGACTTGGCTGGAAGTGAAGGTTTAACCGAGGAAAATGACAGCGGAGACCATGTCACCGATCTGCTGCATGTCATGAATTCGATTTCAGCGTATGTTAGATTCTTCTATCTCTATATTTATTCACTGCCTTAGCAGTGAGCTGCACATATAACTTCGGTGTCTTTATCATGTAAAGATCGGACAAATTTTTCCATGTGCATGAAGTTGTTCTTGTTAACTTTGTTTATGCATATATTTCTGGCTCTATAGGTTGGGAGATGTTTTATCCTCGTTGACGTCGGAAAAGGATTTAATTCCTTATGATAATTCAGTTCTTACAAGAGTACTTGCAGATTCCCTAGGTAAATTTGTTTTTTCTCAGTACATGCATCTTTCCTTTTTGTGTTAGTATTATTATTTTTTGTTTTTGTTTTGCCACCATTTCTTAAAGCTCTTTGTAAGCGAGGCACAATATTCTATAACGTGTAGGAGGAAGCTCCAAAACATTGATGATCGTTAACATCTGTCCAAGTGTACAAAACTTGTCTGAGACAATCTCATGTCTCAATTATGCTGCTAGAGTTCGGAATACTGTACCAAGCCTTGGCAATCGAGATACAATCAAGAAATGGAGAGATGTGGTAAGTGGAAGTGGAAGTGAAAGAGATAAACAATTAAGACATAAGAATCAGACATTTGATGTTCTGTTGGTTTTGTCTCTCTCTTTTCTAGTTTATCCCAAATTTCGAGAGAACAAAACCTAATATAAAATTATGCAGAAATTTCTTTTCCTTTTCGAAAATATTTTGTTACAAAATTTGCTGCATAGATAACCTTTGGCCCTGCAGGCAAGTGATGCTCGGAAGGAGCTGTTGGAGAAAGAGAGAGAAACTCAGAATCTGAAACAAGAGGTTGTGGGCTTAAAAAAAGCACTTAAAGATGCAAATGACCAGTGTGTATTGCTCTACAGTGAAGTGCAGAGGGCGTGGAAAGTTTCACTTACATTGCAATCAGATTTAAAGGTTATACAGCTTTACCTGGGTTCTTGTTTGGCTTTTCTTCAATTCTTTATAACTTCTTTTCTTGTTGCTCATTCTCCGTTTTGTACTTCATGCAGTCAGAGAATATTATGCTTGTAGACAAACATAGACTAGAGAAGGAGCAGAATTCTCGGTTAAGGAATCAAATAGCTCAATTTTTACAGCTGGATCAGGAACAGAAGCTGCAAATGCAACAACAAGATTCCACCATTCAAAATCTCCAGGTTTGTTCCCATGAGTGTTAGTATCTACGCTTTAAAGTTTAAGGTCTGTGTTAAGGCAATTGATTTTGAAATTGTTGACTTCTCTGCACATGTCATATAATTCTCATGTTTTTCATTTCAAAATAATGTAGGCTAAAATTACAGACTTGGAATCACAAGTAAGTGAAGCCGTTAGATCTGACACAACAAGAACAGGAGATGCCTTGCAATCTCAAGACATATCTTCTTCAGTGCCAAAAGCGGTAGAGGGCACAATTGATTCTTCTTCTGTTACCAAGAAACTTGAGGAAGAACTGAAAAAACGTGATGCACTGATTGAGGTTCTCCTCTCTCTTACTCTTGACCATATTCTGATTGGAGTTCGTGCCCTCTGGCTGAACTTTGGTTATTTGCACTAGTACAGTAGTACATTTATCTGAAGAGAATGATGTTTTCCGCAGAGGTTGCATGAAGAAAACGAAAAGTTGTTTGACAGATTAACAGAAAGGTCAATGGCTGTTTCGACCCAGGTCATTATTCTCTCTTGAATAGTTAAATATCATATCAAGGCACTGCTCTCAGCTGTTGAGAGAAAAATTAATTGAACTCTGTTCTATATAATTGCTACTGTATGTTCAACACTATGCATCTGGAGATTTACTTGCTTAAGTA